CTCAGGTGGTGGGGCACAGGATGCAGGTCATGCCTCTGATTGCCACCTCTGTGCAGCTGCCCCCCATCCAGTTTGATTGGGTCTTAATCCTTCACTGGCTGATTTCCAGACTGACGGGGCGGGGCTGGGGGCCCACTAATCTTGGATTGCTGGTGATGAGCCAACCATCTTCACTCCCACCCTTATGCTCGGATCAAGCTTCTGCTCAGGAACGCCACCTGGCGACCACCCCGTGAAGGGCCACCGGTGTCCTCCAGATGGATCTGCCCTTTCAGGCCTCAGCGGAGCAACCTCAGTTAGTGGAGAAGAAAGGCATCCCCCTGTAAAATAACCCTAACACGATGGGCTGCAGGAGGCTGTGGACCTCCAGGCCACCTACCCTATGGAGGTGGGCCCAGTTCCTGGGCACACTGGCCTGAACATAGCAAGCTAGAGACACTCACTATCTCAGAAAGAAGGAGGAACTGCTCCTTCCCACAGTACCTACAATGTGCTCAGCGAGTCTCTTGGCGTGTATTCCTGGGGAAGGAGGTTAGGGTGTCTCCTCAAAATATACCCTACTCTGGGACTCCGTAAGTTCCCCAAAAGGCACCCATGTGTGCTCCATCGGTGAGGTCACCACTCTGAGAAGATGCTTGGTATTCTACACTGTGTCTCCACTCGCCGCTTCCTCAGATGAGACCTGGCCTCGGCAAGGCTGGATTCCACGGGAAATTGAGCAGGCACTTAGTAGGTGCTCAGCCAAACTGCACCTGCTGCTTATCGTATGACAGCTGACCTTGACAAAGACAAGGTCAGAATTTTTTACAAAGTGACAGACTGGTCTGGGGCTAAGCAGCTCCAAGTTTGATTAAGACTTCAGTATTACGCCAGGCGGTGGTGGCGCACGCCTTTAATCCCAACACTCGGGAGGCAGAGGCAGGCGGATCTCTGTGAGTTCGAGGCCAGCCTGGTCTACAGAGCGAGATCCAGGAAAGGCGCAAAGCTACACAGAGAAACCCTGTCTCGAAAAAACCAAAAAAAAAAAACAAAAAAAAAAAACTTCAGTATCACAATAACACAGGTCCACAGCACCACAGACCTACTCTGTAGGGACACTTGTGACATTTCTCTCCCATCCTTTCCTCCTCCCACCACATCTAAAAGTCAAACTCTCTTGTTTTGGTACTGAGAAGGTGACCCAGGGCTTTGGTTATGTCACAGAAACCCTCCACTAGGCATCCCAATCAAAAACTCTACAATTAATTCATTAGTTTATTTATTGATTTACGTGTGTGTGTGTGTGTGTGTGTGTGTGTGTGTGTGTGTGTGTGTGTGATGGCATGCATGTAGAAAACCTGGGAGAGTTGGTTCTCTCCTTTCGTCATGTGGGTTCCAGAGATAGAACTCAGGTTGTTAGGTAAGCGCCCTTAATCACTGAGCCATCTCGTCGCCCAGCCCCCAAGAAATACTTTTTTAAAGAGAGAACAGAAACCGGAAACCCATGCCGGGTGCTGTGCGAGATCTTAGAGCAAGAACGATTTAGGTTTGACCTGAGGAAGAACTTCTGATTGGGAGAGCGAGTCCACAGCAGAAAAGGGTAGTGAGAAATCAAAGGACACACTGGACTCCCTCGGGGCCTGGCACTCCTGGGGGCCCAGGCCTGATGTAGTCACCAAGCACGGAAACCGCAGGTGACTCAGGGAATCTTAAGCGGTGGTTGCTAGGTTACAAGCTTCTTTAATGTGCCTCAATGTATAGACTAAGGGATGTTACCTGACTGGGAGGAAGAGCATGGGGGAAGGAGAGGGAAAAGAAACCAACCAGACTTCCAGAATTAGCAATTGGGCATAGCCTGGAGGCAAACTGTTTTTTGTTTTTGTTTTTTCTCTACTTTTCCATGGTGAGTCTCTTGACCCCTATGGTTTGCACAGAGTAAAGCCTATGGATGTGAGAACTGAGCTGGAACAGCGCCGTCCAGGACTGGACTCTGGTATCTCCCCAGGTGAGACACTCAACAGTCACTAGGATCCCTTTGGACTCTGTTCGCCTTCCCTCTGCAATTAGACAGATGACCAGAAACCAGATGAGAACAGAAACGCCCAGCCTCCTCACTAATGCATAATCTGTTCATTTGTGATATGGACTCTTCAACCCAGAGGCTTCTGAATGAGTTGCCAGCTTTAAGTGAAGCACTCTCCGAGTGTCAGACCCTCCTCTGCAAAACACAGATGCTCGAAGATGCCTGGCAGTCTCCCTCCAGTTGAAGATTATGAGAAAGTGGATGTGCAGGGGCTGAGCTCTGGGAAGTCTGCCCACCTGCTGGGAGGGTGTGAGAAACTGCTTGGCTTTGCTGCTTCGGTGAAGTTCATAGGCAAGTGAGGCTGAAGATAGACCCCAACAAACATATTTGAGAAGACTGTGCTCCCCTTCATCCTGGTCACCCCAAACCACAGCTGTGAAACTGATTCAGTTCGAGCGAATGTCCATCCACATTTCCCTGGGCAAGCTAGACCTCTAAGAATGTTGGGAGGTACCCACCAGAGAAGACTATTTGGACAGGGCCTCAAGCTACTAGAAAGTCTTTATTAGCCAGCTGGTAACTACACTGAGTGTTCAGGACCCGAGGGCAGTCCTGAGACTTTCTCAGAGTGGGCTTTTAAGCACAAAAACCACATCCTGAGTTGACATATCGTATTTAGCAAGAACAGTTAGCCAGAAGTAGAACTACAGAAGCCCCAAATCAGGGTTAGTACATTTAGGGACTTTCCCAGAACTGTGGACTTTGATGGATTAGGTCTTTGGTCTCATTTTGGCAGGTGGTCCTGCCTACATGCTGGGTTCCAAGGCCTGAATGGTTCTTCCATCACATCCTCAGTTGTGCTAAGGTCTGGAAGCCTTTTACATGAACATGAAATGGTTGGTATTGTCTGTGAAACTTCGTGGATTTAGACTACACTCTCAGAATTTGTGAGTTCTTACCGAATAGGGAAAAACAGAACATAGTCTCTTCTGTGGACGATCTAGATGTTGATTTTGCAAATACATGAATCTAAGCTTTAAAAATAAGTAGAATTGTTAGGTCAAGAGCTCAAGATAGTAAGATAGGCCTATTTTGAGTTACAGCTTCTATTTCTCACAGAAGTTGAGGTAGCAGTATGGGCACTGACAGAAATGTACCAGGCCTGTGCTCTCTGTCAGAGAGTCTGGGGAACACTTGACAAATATTACCTCTTTTAACCTTCACAAAAACTTATACCATGGAATGCCACAAAGAAATAAAGGAGAAAAATCTGATAAAGAGGCACACACCTTTAATCTCAGCACTTAGGAGGCAGAGGCAGGTGGATTTCTGTGAATTCAAGGCCAGCCTGATCTACACAGAGAGTTCCAGGACAGTCAGGCCTACATAGACAGACCCTGTCTCAAAAGAAAGGAGGAAAGGAAAGGAAAGGAAAGGAAAGGAAAGGGAAGGAAAGGAAAGGGAAGGAAAGGAAAGGAAGAACTGGGTTTGGTGGCACAGATCTGCAGTCCTTGCCCTTGGAGGCTAAAGCAGGAAAATCGAGTTCCAGGCAAGTGAGACCATGCTTCAGAAAAACAGAGGAAGGGTGGAGGGGGCAGGGGAGAGATTCTTTCAACAACTTGGATGATGGTACTCCAGGAGTGAGTTTGGGGATAAGGGGACTCTAAAAGTTTACATGCTGTATGATTTTATCCATAGAACATTCTTTCCCTTCTTGAGATGGAGTCCGAATAGTCCAGGACGGCCTGGAACACAATATATAACAAGGATGGCCTTGAACTTCTGATCCTCCTGTCTCCACCTCCCAAGTACTGGGATTATGGGCATACCTCACCGGGTTTTATGTCACTGTGTCAGGCACCAGGTTTTATTCAGGGCTGGGGATGGAATCCAGGATTTTGTACATGCAAGATAAACACTCCACCAAGTAAGCTACAGTCCCAGCTCCTTGTACAACATGGCTGAAGCGACAAAATTTCAGAAATGGGTTGTCAGGGGCTGGGGAGGGAAAAGCAAGGAAGAAGTGTGGAGTTGGACCAGATATCAAAAGGTGACATGGGACCCTTGTAATAATGAAAATGTAATCTGCTTGTGGATTTGTACTTTAGCTTGCCAGGATATTAGCACTGGGGGACCCTGGATAAAGAGTACTTCTTTCTTATAACCACGTGTGAATCTACAGTTTATCACAAATTAAAGTTTAGTGCCTTGCATGTGCACAGCCCTGAGATCCATCCCCAGCTTTGGGGGGAAATACACACCACACCGCGTACACACAGTGCAAAGTCTGTCCGGCTCTCAAGCTTGAGGGTTTCCAGGTGGAAGGAAGCCAGATAGGAGGACCCTGTGGACTTGGAGAGACACCACTAGGTGGTCCAGTGTGTTACTGGCGCTTGTATTACTGGGGAACCACAGTTCCGAAGGGTCTGTTGCTGGGTACAGGTTTGAAGAGGTTATCTATCCAGTCCTGTGGTTGGTGCCAAGGGCCAGGATTTGCTAATCAGGTTTGCCCTTCTAGTGATGTATATAAAGGTTTGGGGGTGGGGGTGGGGGTGATCCTCCCAGTCGTCTATCGGTATGTTCAGTTGTGGTCCCCCTGTCTGTGGCTTTACCAGCGGCTTGGTGGACGTGTCCACTCAGGAGGGAAGGCAGGTTCTGGGTGAGCTGCATGCATATGTGTGCCAATTGTTCGATCTGCGGGTCCCCCGCTGCATGCATGTCACTGCCTCCTAACTCGGCTCTGAGGTTTGACCGTGTGAGAATACCTCCCCCCAAACAAAGCCAGCTTGTCACGAACTGGGTCTGTGTACTGTAGACAAACCGGGTAATTGGGCTCTCCGCCTCCTCACCCAAAACAAACACTCGCAAACGCCCGCCCCCACGCTGGCGGGATCTGCCTGTCATCTGGGCACCGGCTCCTGCTCCGGCTGCCTCCGACCCCGGAGACACGGCAGGCCCTGCCCTCGCCCGCCCCGGCTGCCGGGGCTGACGCACAGGCCACAGCCTCCGCTGCCGGGCGCGTGGGCTCCTGCCCAGGTGTGGCGGCTGCGGGGAGGCGGTGCGGGGAACCGGCGTCCTCCGGCCGGCCGGGACTCGGTGTCTAGCAGCCGCTCGCCTGCGCGGGTGACAGCGGCGTGCGGGCCGGGAAGAGCAGGGCACGCTGTCCCCGGCTCCGCGGCTGCCGGTGAAAGCCATGCGTGGCTTGCGGGCACCGCCCGGGAGCTAGTGAGGGGCGAGCGCGGCGCCCACGCGCGGCGGGGTGGGCTCCGCGCTCCCGGGGACCGGGCGGGGCGGGGCTCATCCTGCAAAGTTGACCCAGGGCAGGCTACCGCCGGCGTCCTGCTGCCCTAGATTCGCCGGGTTCTTCCAGCGGAGCCAGGGGTGGACGTCGCCGGCCCGCTGACACCCGAGGGACCCGGAGAAGCCAGCGGGCGTCGGCGGAAGCCCGCGCAACGCGAGATGGAGGCTGCAAGAGGGGACGTGCGGGCCGGCGCCGAGTAGCCCGCGGGCCCCGGGGCTGGACCTTGCCCGGACGCTGTGAGGGCGCGCGAGCAGGGCCCTCCCCCGGGCTGCCATGGAGGTGCCCAATGTCAAGGACTTTCAGTGGAAGCGCCTTGCTCCACTGCCTAGCCGCCGGGTCTACTGCTCACTGCTGGAGACCGGAGGGCAGGTCTATGCCATCGGGGGATGTGATGACAATGGCGTCCCGATGGACTGCTTCGAGGTCTACTCCCCCGAGGCCGACCAATGGACCTCCCTGTCCTCCCTGCCCACAGCCAGGGCCGGGGTAGCGGTTACTGCCCTAGGAAAGCGGATTATGGTGATCGGGGGTGTGGGCACCAATCAACTGCCTCTGAAGGTCGTGGAAATGTACAATATCGATGAGGGCAAGTGGAAGAAGAGGAGCGTGCTGCGTGAGGCTGCCATGGGCATTTCTGTTACAGCCAAAGGCAAGTGGGGCCAGGGTTGAGGGTGGGTGTGGAGAAGGAAGTAAGGGGTCACAGGGAAAACGGATGGAATGCAACATGATTTGGGCGGCCAATAGCACGTTCCCCGTCACATTTGAGCCTTACATTAAGTACTAAAACTAGAGACCCGTTGCCCTTATTTTACAGATTGGGAAGGGAGGCTGAGCAGGTGAAATGTCTAGGAATTCCATCTGATGCCAGGAGTCAGCTCCAGCGGGTTCCTCCTGGCAGCCTGGGCAGGCCACTGCAGAGGGAGCACCAAGGTGTGAGCTATGGGGTTATCTGCAATGACTCTGCATACCCTGGCATTCAGCCGAATGACCACATTCCCCGTTGGCACCCCACCCCCCACCCCCAACCTACCTATGTAGGTTCCTGAGGATGCTCATCCCATCCTTCTACCAACACCAGGTCTGCCGAGGAGGCTTTGGGACCGGATCCCAGGATCTTCTTTAACTCCTGACTACAGTGTCAGTGGTACTGAGGGCAGGTCAGCATGTTCCAAAGGTGGATTCGTCTAGCGGAGTGTCCGGGTCCACCGAGTTCTGTGGACTGCATGTGGTTTTTAAATTCTCATTTGACCTTTTTTTGGGGAGCTACTACAGCCTATAGAGGGGGTCCAACAGCTGTTTTGCTGAAAACACAGTTTGATGAGAATGAAAGTTAAGAGACCCCAAGTTCGTGTACACTTGCCTCCACGCTGTAGACACTGCTTCTTTAGCGACACGACCCCAGCTGCCTGTGTGGCATACGGCAGATCAGAAACCAGCCTTTCTTCAACACCTGTTCTGTCCCTGGCACACTCCTAGGTCACAAGGACAAAGGAAAAGAGTAGAAAATCTGGGCCCTGGAAGTGATTGGCGAGAAGCTGGGGCCCAGAACCCCCTTGGGCAGGGTAGACAGTAGGGTTTCCATGATCTGCCAGTTAGAAGGAGGAAAAGCCAGGCCTGGTGCTGACGGCCTGTAATCCTAGCTACTCTGGAGGCTGAGGCAGGGGAGTGGCAAGTTCAAGACTTGCCTAGGCTGCAGAGTGAGTTCAGCAGACTGAGGCCGAAGGATTGTGAGTTCAAGTTACATAGTAAGAACCTATTTAAAAAAAAAAAAAAAAAAAGAAAAGAAAAAGAAAAAGGATGGAAGGCCCAGAGGCCCATGGGGACACTGAGAATAATGAGTATGGACTATACTCCATCCCTAGCTTCGTTAAATCATACTAAAAGTTAAAAATCAAGGTGTACCTTTGGTGCTTTATCCCTTTATCCAATGAGATAAGTGCTATTTTTATTCTGTTTTTAGAAGAAACAGCAGGAAGCCCTGAAAGGTTAATTACCCAAGGTTAAATAAATAGTAAGTCATGACCATGCCTGTGCTCCAAACTATAAAGTCAAATGAATTCAACAGTTAGGTTGGTAAACGTTTACATGTCAACCATTGTACTGAGTTCATAGATTAACAAATTCTCAAGGACCTTCGGTGTATTGGGAGGAACAGGTCAAGCTGGTATCAGTTACATGCAGTAACAGAGCAATGGAGATACCATCACTCAGGAGGCACCAAGCCAAGTCCTCTGGGCCCCCTGCTTTGCAGCTCAGGGAATCCCAGTTGAGGTTCAAAGGATGGGTCAGAGCTGGCTGCCGGCCTGAATGACTGTGGAGAGGATAGAGTTTTTCCAGAAGGGGGTGTTCCTAGAAGGGAAGGTCGAATTTGTGCTAATCAGGTGCTCGTCATCAGGCCCTTTCCCAGCCTTAGGCTTAGGGTTAGGATCCCCCTACCCACCCCTAGTACGGCTAGAAAGTAGAGAGAGATAGGGTTGCTCACTTTGTCCGGTAGTAACATCCAAGAGTCAAGGCACCACAGAGAGAAAGGCTATGAGGAAGGGCTGCTGGGAGCAAGAACCACATACAGGTACTGAAGATTCCTGAGAGGAAACCCATTCAGGCAAGGGCTGGGGAAACACAAATGGTAGTCCATGCTCTTTGGTACAATGTGCAGAGTCCCTGAGAAGCTGCCTACTGCCAAGAGCAGAGGAGAAAAGAGGGGACTCCCTGCTCAGAGAACCTAGCTCTCTAAGGGCAAGGTTTCTGAAGGGTCAGTTCCCCAAAGCCTCCTCCTCCTCCTCCTTCAGACCTGGCCTTATCATCCCGTTCCACACAGGGGCCTCCTGGATCCTGCAAGCTTCTGTACATGTGAAGGAGAATGCCTTTTCCCCACTGGGGTAGCGGACAGAACTGCTGACAGGCCAGGGCCGGTGACTGGGGCCGGCTATAGTTCTGAAGGACTTCACCATGACTGGAGACTTAGTGTCTGAGAGTTCCTATGGGATCCTATGGGACAGGTCACCCCTGGAGGTCTCCCCTCGCCTTGCCCCCTGGGTGCCTAGACAGGGGGACTGGAGGACGGGGGGGGGGGGGGGGGGGGGGGACAAACCTGCAAAGGGTTACCTAGACTCAGGCTTCACTGTCATCCGTCTCTGTGCAGGGTTTAGTATATCAGGCTTTGCTAAGGACTTGGCACTCATGAGGGCCGAGGCACAGTCCTGCCACAGCTTCAGGAGGACCCAGGTTTAGCCATAATAGGGACTTTGAATGGTGCTACCCACCCCACCAAGACAGCTGGGATTCATTAGCAGAGCAGTGTCCAGGAATTGGCTTGGCCTATGGAAGGTTATAGATTCTGTTGGGCCTGTCTCTGGGTGCCTGTGAGCCAAACTGTCTCCCTCTGTGTGTGCTTTTTCTTAGATTATCGAGTGTATGCTGCAGGTGGGATGGGCCTGGACCTTCGTCCACACAACTACTTGCAACACTACGACATGCTAAAGGACATGTGGGTGTCGCTAGCACCCATGCCCACTCCAAGATATGCTGCCACCTCATTCCTCCGGGGCTCCAAGATCTATGTGCTGGGTAAGGACAAGCTCCTTGTTGTTCATTTCTTCTCCTTGCTCCCTTGGGTGAGTTCCCTAGGAAGCAATGCCCACAGCCTGAGAATTTCCCTGGCCCTGGGGGATAATCACACTGTTCCAGCCCTCGAGGAGTCTTTCAAATGACTGAATAACAGAAGGGAAATCCCAGTCCTGTTGGTTCTCAGGGACTGCTTTTTTTTTTTGTCCACCGTGTACCCTGTTCCCACCTCCAGGGGGACGACAGTCTAAGTATGCGGTCAATGCCTTCGAGGTCTTTGACATAGAATCTCGGTCCTGGACCAAGTTCCCCAACATTCCCTGTAAGCGGGCCTTCTCCAGCTTTGTGACCCTGGACAACCACCTGTACAGCCTGGGAGGCCTGCGGCAGGGTCGTCTCTATCGGCAGCCCAAGTTCCTCCGGACAATGGATGTGTTCGACATGGAACAGGGTGAGCTGGGTCCACACCCCCTTGGCTGCTTGCCTTTCTTCTAACTGATCCCCACTTTCCCCATCCTGGCAGATCTTCCTGGGGCTGCTTACATATCCAGGCAGGCCTCTCCAGTGTCTGAGCATCCTTCCTAACTCACGGATATGCTCGCAGTCAAATTCTATTCCAGGCACCTTTGGCCTGGCTGGCTCTTTCCACTGTGGTCCTTCCTCCTCCACCCCCAGTACTGTGCAGGACCAGGTTAGGAAGGGACTCTTCCTGTGCTGATGGAGAATCAGAGGGATCCTGATTTCTCCATTCACCACCTTTAATCAGATTCCTCTCCAGTTTAGAACCATGGAAAACCTAAACAGAACAGGGGCTCATGGGAGTTGTATACATTAGACTGTGCCAGGCACCAGAGAGGTGGTAGAGGGTGTCATTTCAATCAGCAGGGGAATGTTCTCTGCATCCTGGACACAAGGGAGTAGCCGCCCAGGGTAAGAGCCACTTGGGATTCATCTGTATTTGTTAGGGGACATGAGCACCTAATCCTCCGTCTCTGTCCTGTCACTATGCACACTTGCAGGGGGATGGCTGAAGATGGAGCGCTCATTCTTCCTTAAGAAGCGCCGGGCAGACTTCGTGGCTGGTGGCCTAAGTGGCCGGGTCATAGTGGCTGGGGGACTCGGTAAGGATAGATCATCGCAGCTGTTCTGTGTTGTGGTTCTGGTCCTTGGCACTGCACTTGAGTGACAGACAGTACTGACTTCTTGCATACCTCCCACTGCTTTACTCCAAAGAATTCAATACAGTCTGGACTTGACCTTTCCACGTGGGCCCCCCCTGGGTTCTTTCAATTCCGTACTAGGAAAATGGAGATCCAGAAAAGATAAGGGACATACTGATAACTGCGAACCCCTGTGCTGGACCCAGGTCCCTGAGTCCCTTTCTGGGGATAGCTGGAGACAAAGGGTCAAGGGTTCAGTTGTCAACCTTCATGGACCCAAGTCTTCTTGGACATCCAGCTGGATCTTGGGATAGCAAAGCAAATGATCAAATAAATGGTCCTAATTCTGGATTTGATGTATAACTCCTCCTTCTCAAAGACTGCTGGTATTTTGAAGGCTGGACTGAGGCTTGGGGCACACTGAAGTCATTAGGGCACGGTGATAAAGGCAGTGGGGCTTCCAAGCAGCCAGCGTTTACTCGATGTAGACATACCCCACTATACTCATTCATGAACAACCATATAAGCTAGGTTAGTGTGTGTGTGTGTGTGTGTGTGTGTGTGTGTGTGTGTGTGTGTGTGTGTGTTGTGTGTGTGTGAAATCAGGAGGGAGGAAGCAGTGCTCTAGAAACCCAAATGGTAACCAAGAGTGAAGAAAACAATCCCCCCCGAGACAAGGTTTCTCTGTGTAGTTCTGGTGCCTGTCCTGGAACTTGCTCTGTAGACCAGGCTGGCCTCGAACTCACAGAGATCCACCTGCCTCTGCCTCCTAAATGCTGGGATTATTCAAGGCGTGCGCCCCCACCGCCCCACTAACAATCCTATTCTTAAAATGAAATCGAAGAGGGAAGGAGCACGGGACAAAGTTGCTTGACAGGAAGTCTTGGCCCAGGATGCCAGAAGGGGGACCATCCTGTAAAAAGACAAGGAAGTTGCTTAGTTAGCTTTTACTTCTGGGTTGGGAGATGGTCACTGTGGGACATGGCTTGGTGGTTGGGCTCCCGGGTCTAAGATCTGATTCTCCTGTTGTTTTCAGGAAACCAGCCCACTGTCCTGGAGACAGCAGAAGCGTTCCACCCAGAGAAGAACAAGTGGGAGGCCCTCCCTGCCATGCCCACCCCACGCTGTGCCTGCTCCAGCATTGTCTTCAAGAACTGTCTCCTGGCTGTGGGGGGTGTCAGCCAGGGTCTGAGTGATGCCGTGGAGGCGCTGTGCGTCTCTGACTCCTAGCTGGCCCGAGCTTGGCTGGACAGCAGCACTCCACTCCTGACACGAGGGATAGTCTCATCAAAGCAGTTTGGACTACATTCTCGGTCTCCAACTCCTGTTAAGAGCCAGTGGGGCCAAGCCCTAGGGCTCTCAGTGACCTCCCTCTGTCCCCTAACCTACCAACCAGTCCCAGAAAGCTGAAGAAAGTGCAGTTGACTCCACCAGTAAGTTAGAGCTGGGCTGTGGTCTGGGGAGAATCCCTACTCAGTGTTCAGACACAGAAAGGCACGGGAATGTTCCCTCCTCTCACCTACCTCCCGGGGTAGGGGGCAGTTGCCACCCGGAGGGGGAGCCCTTGTTGTCCTTCCCCGTCTCTGAGCTAGTCTGAGTGTCATGATGAACTCATGAAGAATGGGGCTTCCCAAGCCCCTTCCCCATACAGAAGTCAGCTGCGGGCCTGCCCCAGACCCCACCGACTTACCAGGCCCTGGACTTGAAGCCAAGGTGGGGGTGTGTAGGGAAGGTTGTCGGGGACTCACACACCAGGCCAGGCCAACAGCCTTGGCAGGAAGGACCCTTCCTCTCGGGTCCTTGTTGGGCATGTGGTGATGGAGTGTCAATATCTTCTGTGTTCTGCCTTCTGCCACATTCTTCCTACCCGAGGCCTGGCCATCCTGTGCTCAACAGCTCTCGGCGTGTTTCCGATTGAAACCTTCTCATTTACACTGTGGCTTCCAAATCCACCAAGGGTGGATTAATAACAGCAGCACAATGATTGACATCTTTATGCCTGTCTTCTTTGGACCCTGGAAACAAGGCAGGGGGTATCCTAGTTAAGTAGATAGACAATCCCATGAGACCACCTCCCCGTGTCCTTACACTAAATAGGGGCAAATTGGCTACCTGTTCTCGACCATTCCTGTCCAAGAGTTTTACCTTCCCTCGGCTGTAGCTGTCCGGCTCTCAAAGAGGGAGCCCATTTTTCTTCTCTTGATGCACACACACATGTTTGGCCAAGGTTGTGAGCATCCAGTCTTTGCCAGGTTCTACCCACATCTGACCTCGATCAATTCAGCCGAAGCTCATTTTAGGCATATTCAAAGGATGCAAGAACTGTCCACTTGTTTTGTTAAAAAACAAGGGAGGAAAAAACAAGTCCAGAAGGACGGATACGGATGTGCCTTCCCTCCAGCCTGTACAGCACCTCCGTGTGCTTCCCCGGCCCAGTTACTCACACTTCCTCAAGAAGAGCACTTACCCAGTATGCTCAGGGACCTGAGTTCCGACCCCTGCACAGAAACCAAACCTAACCAGTTAGCCCTGAGGACAGGAAGAATAAAGACCCCTGTTGAGGCTGTGGAGGAGCGGGAGGAGTCAGGGAACCTGCTTCTCTCCTCTTCACAAGGCTCAGGTGATTAATGACCTCCTCAGGAGCCTGCGCTGGAGGAGGGCCTATCAGGGTCTGAGGGGTCAGAAGGCGCTCTTTCTGGTGGGGGCTAGGGGTGACTTCCAGCTGGATCTTCAAGGACTGAGTGAACCTAGGTCTTTGAGGAATGGTGGGTTATTGGCTCCTTTCTCGGAAGACCTTGATTTCTTTCTCCTTTGGGTTCCAAGAGGACACTGCCATCTGCTGGTCTAGTCTGTTTTTCTCACCAAGGTGAGGAGGCAGATTGTGGCCATTGGTTCCCCTAAAGAGCAGATCACAAAGAAACCTCCGTTGCTTATGGATCCAGTTCCCTTCAGCCTCCCTGAGCTAACCATTAGGGGAAAAAATGGCTGGGAGCTGCAACTGCAAGGGAGGATGGGGAGTGTGTGGGGTGTGGGGTGGGGGAGTGCGGGCTTCTCGGAGCAAGGCCTTTCACACTTTCCTCTCTCCCTACCCCACTTTCACGTCTGTTCTGCCCACTTCATCCCCAACCCAAGAGGAGCCAATCCACACAGGGGCTTTCTCCAGGCATAATGGCCTCGTACCTGTGGACAGAGCTGAATCCTTTTAAGATAGCTGGAACCTTACAGCCCTCTCTAAGGTTGAATCAGACACTGGGGTTGTCAGAACAACTCAAGGCTGGAGCTGGTATCTGCCAGGGTCACCCCCGCCTAAGTTCCGTGTGGGAAGACTAGGGACACCACACTGAGGAGTGAGGGAAGCTGAAGCATGTGGTTCTAGACGGCTCACACTGCAGAAGCAGCTCAGTCAATGGCCTGCCTCAGCCACTGCCACAGGCCCTCCCCACACCACCCACCTCAGAAGGTTGCTTACCCTCCTCGTCTGAGTGCCCCAGTCTTTCTCACAGGGTGGAGAACAGTGGAGGAGGTAGAGGCCCCATCCACGATCAAGAGGAACTCCAGAGTCATGCAGGCCACACTTCCCAAGGCTTGTCTCCATCCAGTCCATCCATGGAGCAATCAGTCCCAGGTGGCTCCAGAATCAGCGGAGAAAAGGCTAGCCCACACCTGGGTACTTCATTCCTCCAGGCCTCTTTCTAATTGTCTTGCAATTGCCTTGATGTTATGGAATTCCCCACCCAACCACCCACCAATCCCAGCTCTGGCCTAGGAGGAGGGGTGTGGCCACTTTCCCAACCCTCCTCCCCCCTTTAAAGAAGACACTGACATCTAGGGACCCTGAACTCCTAACCCTGATGGTACAGCTGATGCATATTAGGAGTGAACACCTGACCCTACTCTAAACACAGTCCCCCCCCCCCAACACACACATATGTAAACACACACTGCTGTCCTTAACTCCACCAGAATCGGGAGAACAGCAAGAGGCTTCGTGCGTGAGTCCAAATCCCATGCGACCTATAGAACAGGCTCCAAACCCTAGCCAGGGGTTCAGAGGGAATTCCAGTGATGACTTCAGAGACATCAGCTGCAGTAACTTTGGCACGAGGCAGGACTCAGGCGAGAGCCAAAGAGGCAGGACAGACAAAGTGGCTTTGACACATTGAGCCAATAAGAATCGTCACGGGCGTTTGCTTTCCAGGAATGCCCCAAAGAAAACACCACAGACCAGGGGGGCAGCTGGAAACAACAGGAAATGCGGGTCCCACATCTGGAGGTTTCACGTCTGAAATCAAAGGGTTTAGAGGGGTTGTGCTCTGGCTGAGGGCTCATGGAGGGCATGGTCCTAGGTGGGGCCGATCCCTATGGCTCTTCCCGGCTTCCGTGTTATCTGGAGACCCTTGTTGTGCTGTAGCTTGTGGGAGCATTGCTTCAATCACACCTGTCCTCACACAGCCGCTCCAGCCTGACTGGGTCCAAGTTACCTGACTTTGCAAGGACACCAGTCATTGGACTGAGGCCCACACATATCCGGTGTGACTTCATTTTAAGGTGATTAGATCTTATCATGTATTATATATTGTACATCATATAATACATTATATGTTTCCAAGTGAGTCTCATTCCTAGACACTGGAGGTTAGGATGTCAACATATGGTCTCTGGGGAGAGGGAGGATGACAGAGATCAACTCACCACCATACCAAGCATGATGAGTGGAGCAGGGAGAGCAATAATTCCCTGAGTCCTGAGCTCCCTGCTCCCTCCCACTGCTAGAGCTGGGCCTCCAGAGAAGAGCCTGGATGTCACAGTGCCCACACCTCAGATCTGTAGCCAGAAGAGGCCAAGGCAAGGCAGGGTCTGAGCAGCCCCCGAGGGGAGCTGCGGCTTAGAGCGAAATGCTCGCAGTGTGTTCTGGTGGTGCTTCTCCGATTTTTGTCCCACCCACACCCCCGCCACCCCCAATCCCCCACCCTCACTACCACCCCACCCAGCCACAGTGCCAGTGGATGGAGGCGTGGTCCCAGGGGAGGGGTGGGATAGCCAGCTGGCTGCCAGAGCCAAATGCTCTTAGCGTCCTGCATCAGTGTCAAGGAGAGTCGTGTTCACCCCGTGCTATGATCCTTTGTTTCACTGGCTTGAACTATGGTCTGTTTTCTCAAACACTAACGTTCCGTGGGCTCCACAGGCAGCTGTGTACCTGCCTTGCAGAAGCCTCAGGGCCCTCTTTTGCTCCATGGAGCAAAGTGCTTAGAGTGTACCTTCCCCAGTCCAGTCACACCAGGGGATGTGACTCTGAGGGTGAGCACAGCAGACCTGCAGACTGTGAGCTGTGACTGCCTTACACCAGCTCCTTGCACTGCCTCCAGCATCCCAGGGCACACCAAGCTGTACTCCCTATACACCTATACTCCTATACTCCCTATACACCTATACTCCTATACTCCCTATACACCTATACTTACTATACTCCTATACTCCCTATAGACCTATACTCCTTATACACCTATACTCCTATACATCTATACTCCCTATACACCTATACTCTCCCTATACTCCTATACTCTCCCTATACTCCTATACTCTCCCTATACTCCTATACTCTCCCTATACTCCTATACTCTCCCTATACTCCTATACTCTCCCTATACTCCTATACTCCCTATACACCTATACATCTCTACTCCCTATGCCCTACTAGGCACCTTCTCCCTCTTGCACCCTCACTCAACTTACAAATGTACTCCTCATACACCCACTTGTTCAGACACACTTTCCTGGGCACACTCTACATGCAAATGACCACCCACACTCACTGACACAGTCACATGCAATCTTTACAAACACATATATACACACCCCCTTATGGACATCTGTCATGCACATAGCTTATTCTCATACTCATATACATATACGCTCAATTGTAGGCAGTGTCCAGAATTTGAATCCTCTCTACCCTTTTTTTGAGACATGGTCTTACTATGCAGCCCCTGCTGACTTGGAGCTTGCTATGTAGACCAGGCTAACCTCAAACGCACAGAGATCCACTTGTTTCTGCCTTCTGAGTGCTGGGATTAAAGGCATAGGCCACCATGCCTGGCTCAGAATCCTTTTGATTCAATCATTTGGCCGTGCCTCCAAACTCAGAGTCCTTACCATTTGAAGGATGAATTACCACAAGATCCTGTAGTTCTTGCCATGGTGGGCTCATCTGTTGCCCTGGATTGTACCTCTGCAGCAAACCTCCCCCTAACAACCCCACGCCACAGTTTGCCACCATGGCTAGAGGAACTTTTTGAACCACACTTAGGCAGGAATCCCTCTGTGTTAGGTGAGGAGATAGTCCTAAAGGTATCGTGCACTCTGACTCCTGAGAAGCCTCTGGGCTCCCAAGAAGGGAGTTCTGGGCCTTCCTCAGTCACCCTCTCTGCTCAGGACCTTGCTGGTACCTGGCACCAGGCCAGCACAGGACTGCAGCAGAGTGCTAATCAGTGAACAACAGACGGCTTTCCCTAGGGAGGAGCCAGAAAGACCCGTGCCCCAACCCATCTCCTAATGGACCAGACCTCTCCACTTGCTCCAGAGAAATGACTTTTTTTTTTTTTAAATGCAAACTCTGGGAGCCACCTCCACCCTCCAAACAGGAAATAGTTCACAGATGACTCAGAGGGTCTTTGGAAGGATGGATGGTGACAGAGAAGTGTCTGGATATTTGGTACATGATGAGACACCTCAGAGTCGATGGGCCTGAGGGCTGTGGGAAGTTAAAATTGCCCTTCCTTCCCATTTGCCTAGACCATGGGAAACAGCCAGGTTGGACCCCAGGCTGGTAGTTAGGGGCATGTAGTTTGTCAGGGCTTCAACTGGGCTCCTGGAGCTGTTCCTCTGGTTAGCCTTAGACTATGTGGCTGTGCCAAGGGGCTGGGGTCACTGTTTCCAAGTGTTCCACCCTGCCCTCTCACCTGGGTAAGGTAAGGACTCAGAATCATCATA